ATAAAATCGTTTCTGATTATAGTAAACTATATAAAAAACCTTTTTTTAACATGCAAAATTATAGTACATTTTACAATATATATTTTAATATTTCCCCATCTTTTATTATTAGGTAGGACACATTGAACTTCGTTAATTTCGCAAAGGTCAATATGACAACGTGTTAAATTGTTTTAATAATATTTAATTAAAGTACATTAAATTTATTTAACTATTTTTTATGTTTTTAATTTTGTGGAGTTACATTTAATGCACTTTGTGTATATCTATTTTATTCATGGAGGTATTAGCAGTTTTTTTTTTGAGATTGTAAACTCCAAGCAAAGTTTTATTTATTTATTTATTTATTTATTTATTTATTTATTTATTTATTTATTTATTTATTTATTTATTTAGTATACTGGAAGTTTAAGCATTGCATTACTTCAAGAATTATGTTTAAAAATATGAGTAATATCAAAATATCCATTTAAAACATTTCTTTATGGGTTTTGTGCACGTTCACTTTCCGGCCATTCACCACATGATGCCGCCGGAGACCGTAGGTTCAAGTATGATAATTTATTCAAAACTCCTCCTTCTTACATGAGCACACATTAAATCATCAGTCCTCAGCACACCCGCGGATGGTGTTGTGAGGAGAAACGCTGGAGATCAACGTGCTCACATTTACTCCAGATGGAAACCTTTATTATGGATGAATGATCTGTTTTGGTTTGCTGTTTCTGGAACTTTAACAATGTATCCTCGACGAGAGAAGGAATACATCTGGATTCACATCTCTTTGTTTCTTTGTCTGTGTGGCTGGGCTGCCTCTCAGTTATCCTACTCCATATCGGAGGAGGTGAACAAAGGAACTGTGGTGGGGAACATCGCAAAGGATTTAAACCTTAATGTCCAGGAACTTGACAGCAGGGCGCTGCGTGTTGTTTCGAGTTACAGTAAGAAATATTTCGACGTTAATTTACGCACCGGAAGCCTCGTTGTGGATGAGAGAATAGACAGAGAGGAGCTTTGTTCGCATCTGCTAAAATGCTCGTTAAAAATCCAAGCTGTGTTAAGTGATCCGATGACTGCGCATCGCATAGAAGTTGTAGTTGTGGATATAAATGATAATTCACCGACATTTATGGAAGATCGGCATATTTTAAATATTTCTGAATCGTCATTAACAGGGGAGCGATATCTTCTCCCAGTAGCTGTGGATGCAGACATAGGGAGCAATTCAGTAAAAAGCTACAAGCTGAGTCAAAATGAACATTTTTCCCTTGATGTTCAGAGCGGCGGAGAGCACGGTGTGTCTGCTGAGCTGGTGCTGCAGAAAGCTTTAGACAGAGAAAAGCAGTCCGTTGTAGTACTTATCTTAACTGCTATTGATGGAGGTAAACCTCAAAAATCAGGTTCTTTACAAATATATGTGCACGTGACAGATGTAAACGACAATATACCGACATTTAGCAAATCGCTTTATAAAGTAAGGATCCAAGAAAACGCACAGGCTGGAACAAGAGTGATACATTTAAATGCTACAGATTTAGATGAAGGTGTTAATAGCAGAATCCGGTACTCTTTTGTTAAACGAGGAAACATTGATCCGTCACTTATTTTTAATCTAAATTCAGAAACAGGAGAAATACATTTGAAAGGCATCTTAGATTTTGAAGAAACGCCTGCTTATGAAGTTAGAGTTCAAGCAAAAGACCAAGGAGCCTCGCCTCGAAGTGCACATGCTAAACTGTTGATAGAAGTCATTGATGTGAATGATAACGCTCCAGAAATATATGTGACGTCACTCATGACGCCAGTAAGAGAGGACGCGCAGCTGGGGACAATTGTTGCTTTAGTTACAGTCAGTGATAAAGATGGAGG